GCAAACAACGCTCCCGATTACTTTCTTTGGGATCATCACACTCATTTCTTCCTCTTCAGCAAATGAGCATTTCGGTGTTCCTGTTTGCTTGATTTTACACGTCTTGTAAATGTCGAGCGATTTATAAGAGAAACGTTGGAGTTTTAATCAAAATCCAAAGGAATGTTCAACAAAATAAGAATTTGTCATTCAGAGTATTTGAAGTTACAGTCTGATAGGTCGCCAATTGAAAAGTTTCTAGTTTATCACAAATGTTGCCCAAAGCCTTCATTTTACAAATGTTTTAATTTTGCAACCGCCTAGTAGAATTTGTCCATTGCTTTCATTACTCTACACTTGACTTCCAGTGTGGCATACAGCTACACTTTATTTGTTTGAATATTTTGGTTAAATATGGCCCAACTGACCTGTGTTCTTCAACCTACTGCAGTTAATACTTGCTTCGGGTTACAAACCAGCCAAATGGTTTAACTGTTTGCACAACTCAAATTTGGGTTTCACTGCGTGTAACGCTCGTGCTCAACGCGTTGAAATATGTAATGGATACTTTCTGTCTAGCAACCAATCTGAAAGCTCAGCCGTCATCGGTGCCGTTTCTTCATGTTATATAGAAAGACGGAGAGGTATTCTGTTCAGCACTTCTCCATTTATAGACACGTAGCAAGGGCGAGTTGTGGCGTGACAGCTTATTTGGCTCAATAACCTGCATAAATATGACTTGTGAAGGAAACCATACTGTGACAAGCAAACCGCGTTTGCGTTTCACTGAGTGCATTTAGCGTTGCCGGTCGTAATGTAATAGGAAAAATCTGCTCGACAGAGGGTGATTCCAACAAATGTCACATTATTTTGAATTTTGTGTCCACAGCCAGACTACAAAACAGCAGGTACTGTGGCTTGATAAACACGTCCCTTCAGATTCAGTAGATTAGGCATCTTTGATGGAAACCGCTTTGTGTACGAAAGATTCCGCAGAAATATTCGTGCACTCTCACACGGCCACGGCAGCTGTTGTTCGACGTATTCAGCCCACCGATCGAGGCGTTCTTCTTCATTCGTGATGGTCGTTCGATTCTGATGTTTGATGGTTTCATTCACAGGTGGTTTCCGGCGGTCATTTGACCGGATCAGCTGAAATAATCTTCGGGCATTACCGGCCTTCTGGGCCTCTTCCCTTTCTTCGGCTTTCTGTGTGCACCATACTTCACGGTCAGCTCGCACGCTCACTTTCGTTTGACGTGTGATAACTCTTCGCCCCGTGTTGTGTTCCGGACCGCCTGGGATAGTTCTCCGAGATTTAAGCAGTGCCACCATCCGGTCTGATATCTAGTGCTTGGGTGCGCCTGGTTGGGTCGTGCCCCAGGGAAATTTCCCAGCACTATGCAAAGAGGTGTCGATCTCGAGTATGTATGAGTCCACATCTGATGGTGAAGCATTTGGAAGAGACTAGAAGGTGATTCTGGTAAGTTTGTTTAACATCCGGATCTGTCTCTCAGTAAATTTCCCAGCACTATGCAAAGAGGTGTCGATCTCGCCCCAGTATGAGTCCACATCTGATGGTGAAGCATTTGGAAGAGACTAGAAGGTGATTCTGGTAAGTTTGTTTAACATCCGGATCTGCCAGTCTCTCAGTTGCCAAGCGATTTGTCTGCGCCTTACGCGGCCCTGAGAGACGTAGGGAGAAGCGACTCTGGACGATTGCGTTGTTAGAGTCCACAAATGTGTTCCAAAACGACCGGCAGTCAGTTATTGATCCGCGCCATCGGTAACTGATGGCAATGTAGTCGATTTCATCTTGTGGCCGGCCCTGTTGGAGGACACCATCTGGCCAGGCGACTTCGGCTGAGACAATCGTTCCCCATTGTCCGTACGCACCGAGTCCAATCCATGTTGACGTCCTAGTTGAGTCTCAGATACGTAAAGCCTGCCCACTTGTGGATTCATATCTCTGGCAACCACCACGATGTCTGAGCTTTTAGTTCGCCGCAGCAGGGAATTCAGGGCGTCGTAAAATCTATCTTTGACGGCGTCGAAGCTACAGTCAGTTGGGGCGTAGGCAGACACGATAAACAGATATTTGTCAAATTGCCGCTTGCAAGGCTTCTTCACAGACATCGCCAGACGAACCGCACAGATGCGACTATCAACAAGTATCCAGTCAAGTAAGGATACTTCCGCCCGGTGACTTAGCACGATACCAACCCCTGTGCATCCCGTCTCAGCAGCACCAGAGGTGCGCAGCCGGAAGCGAGTGGAGACTAACGGAGCGGTTAGCTCAATCACCGTGCTTGCATATTGAAGTCTCGTTTCTGAGACACAGCGCAGTCAATGCCAAGCGAGTCTAGTGTGAGTGCAAGAGCAGCTTGTTGTCCTGCTTGCTTCAGAGTGCGAACATTGAACGCGGCCAGATAGACTGGGTGTCGAGGCTTGAGGACTGATTTGGAGATTCCTGAAGATGTCGGCACCATGTGACGAAGAGATGCTGCACGCAAAACCGATGCATGACGAACGGAGTCATCAGTCCTACGTGCTGGGCCTACAAGGAGAGAGTTATTAATGGGGTGGGGAGAGGGGGAAGAAAAAGTATGTGAAGGAGAAAGAAGGGAGGCGTCAGCAGTAGCCTGTTTTCGCTTACCCGCCTTGCTGTATGCAGCAAGTAAGGCGACCCGGCTGATGGCACCACGCGACGACGGATGTGGAATGAGAGTATTGTTGTGAATGTCATGATTGTCCGAGGGCTGGGATACTGCCGAGGAGTACCCCTCTAGACAGGAGGACGATTGGGGTCCTCAACCAAAGCCTTTTGCTCAAAAGCCTAACCGCAAGGCAGCGGTGTTTGGCGGGAAATGCAAATGCATTACCATTTCTTCGGAACAAGTCGCCACATGTTCCAACCCCCAACCTGGAGGTCCAGGAGACTGTGTTCGTCAGACCTCTAACCACTGACCAGTCTGGTATGAAACCCTGTGAGTGTCACGGGGACACTCCCCAGTATAGCCCAATGGATCACTGAGGTGCATAAGCCGTCACACCACGCTAAGGTCCAGTCTATTCGTGACTGTACGAAAATGGTTGGCGACCTTAAACTCGTGAACTATAAAACGCATCTCGCGGTGCTTGGTCTTTTTCTCCTGGGGTGTCGGCGCCTCTGAGGAGACCTATTACCTACGTATGCTCTGTTTGAACAGGGTTTGGGTAACAGATTTTTCACCGTTGACCCAAATAACACACGGCGGGGATATGGTAAGAAGCTTCTCAACCTCAGAGCACACACCTTTATTAGGCAACAAATTTTCTAATTCCGGTTAGTGCGTGGCATAACCTTTCTCCGACAGTTGTTGGCGCTGCATCACAGGCGCAAGTGATTTGCTCTTGCAGTTGATGCCGGTTGGGGCGTGATGCGTGAAAAAAGCGAAAAGTGGCGAGGCCATTTTTTGTAGCGTAGTCTATTCACATAAATGCAGGCACCGGAGTTCTGTTTCTTTGCGTTACTATACGGCGTCTTCAGGTATTTGACATGTTTGCGTAGTATAGCAGACGGTAACTAGCTGTACCGCGTACGTAATGGAACGTTCCATAAGCGACCAATACATAGCGAGTCGGATCTGTTCGAAAAGTAGACTAGTCGTATCAGGTTAAGGGGTTCGGGTCATGTATCGCAAGCGCCTTGACCGCCGTCTACCAACTCCTTGTTTTAAATTTCAAGTCCTTGTTGGTGAAAGTTCATCAGAGGACAGGCCATGAAGTAGCAACGTGAAGTGAAAGCGGCTAACTTCAAGTTAGCCGGTGTAGGACTTTCGCATGGTCCTGGGTGGTGTCCAGTTTATTCTGCTTATGCATGGTTGGAAACTATAGGACGTGGGACGTAATTAATCCCAGCGGCGAGGGTCACTGTCTGGTTAATGCTTGTCCCACTGTGTCCGGGATGTACCAGGGAGTTTCGTAAAGAAAGTTAGTACTCAGTCCCGATGGTGTCTTGTTCCGATATGGTTCTCAGGTGTGTTTATTTCAGTGGTTTCGGACGGTGGAGAGATTTCGCTCTTTGGGGGCAAAAGGAATTTTGCATTAAGTCCCTACTCCTTCCCTATCTTTTCGAGTCTTGATGGGCCTTCCTCTATGGTAGTATGTCCGATAAACACCGGTTTCTGAAACGGTTCCAACTGTCCACGATAATGGTGGTCATCTCGGAACTTTGCGGACCTGACACCAAGGCTAAACTTCCCACTTTGAACTACAGCATTAAGGGTATGTTATTGCTGCCCGTTTCGGCCTGGATATTGACGATGAATCATACTGCATTCGGGTTTAGCACTTCAAAGTGTTTAGACCAACTTGACTTGAAAGTTATCAGTCCTTGTATTTTCCACTGATATGTTGATATGCTTCATCACATTTTCAGATTCACTGCAAATTCTTAAACAGCAGCTGAGAATGTTTTTAGATGAGGTTGCGCTTTCCCAGCTCGCAACCACGGGCTTGAATCTTCTCGATGTTCAAGCTGCCGTGTTTCATCATTTTGAGGACTTAAGGCGTAAATTTGAGGAAGGAACGGCAGTAGACATTTTAGTTGATGAGGAAGACCAAGAAAATTTGGATGTGAAAACCAAGGAGTGTGTTTGGTAAGTGATATGCTTGAGTCCTTTCACCAAAATCCAGTTTTTTTAAGCCCAAAGTTTTGCTAACACCCAAAGACATCAATCAATATACGCATCTTTTGTCGACCATCGGCAATCTTGAGGGCGATTTAAACGAAGGGACTAACGCAAAACAGAAAAAACGAAGGAAGAATATGGCACACAATCTAAAAGTAAGTTGTGTTCTTGTGTTTCACTAGTGGCTGTTTTCAGGTGGCTCACGCGAAAGTGACCCAAGCTCAATTGCTCATTCAGACCCAACTACTTGATTGCCATCCTTGTGCACACAAATGTCTCCCGGCAGCCTCTGAGCGCCTGGTTTATGAGTCCGTCGTTGATCAACAAGAGACTACGCTTGCCGCTGTACCTAGGCGTTATCGCCTATTGCGCCACATAGTTATCCAGGCTTCCACGGAAAAGGGCACGTTTATGAGTGGACCACAGTCTTCCGTAAATTATTCTGGATTTATTCCCATTCATTACTCATCATCACCAGGTCAAATATACGGTTCTTCCTCCCCACAGTTCTTTCAAGCTATCTTCTTTGGATCATTTTCCAAAAACAGATGACATAGAGGTACGTCTGGTCTTTGTCTTTCCCTTTATAACCATGAGTTTGAGACAATTTGGGACTTAGGGTGTGAACTCTTGGATGAAGGATTTATGTTCTGTCTCCACTCGTTACTTTTCGATTGTTGATACCTAGGTTTGAGCAATATCCTATGCTTTTTCTGCTTCCTACGGCCCATTCTCAGAAATGGGGAATTTGTATCGGATGAACATTCTGAATATAAAATTCGCTATGCGTGGATTCTAGGAAAAGCCTGCCAGCTTTGGGTGAATTTATAAAACACTGGTAGCTCGGGTGTGCTTGTTGACTCATCATCATCATCATCATCATCATCATCATCATCGACAGCATGACATCAGTGTTCAACACCGATGCTTCACTGCCGTTGACACATCACCACTGAGACTTCCCTTTAAGTTATTATCGGACGATGTCAGTGGTACCCTGTTCTTTTAAGAAGGCACGCCGTTGGAGCTGGCGCTGTTTATATAAGTGAACGCTTTTTGGGGCTTAGGTTCCACTGAGAATTATCTATAGGTTCTCACTGGAATTGCATGCCTGTGCCAGACAACGAGGTAGTAAATACGGTTAAAAATGGCGGAAAACGTTTACGGTTTTCCGTATATGGGTAGTTTCACTCCGGGCAATCCTGACAAGACTACATATATCTCACAAAAAGCGTATTTTCACTGGACAGTGTACGCTTCGCCTTCAGTGACTACAGGGTTCTATACTCGGCAATGAACGGAGAATTGAATTAAAAAACGTTCAAGACTATTTATTCAATTACAAACGAGTTGGTCGCATAGCGCACGATGCGACCACAGCCAAGAGTTGTTTTTATACCTTTACTCGTCCACGTATAAGGTCCACGACGTGCTATGAGGGTACCAAACGACAGAAACAACCTACTTATGGAACTGACTCATGAGAAATAGAAATGCCTGTGGAAGTACGCACTCTTGCAAATTGTGTTAATGAGACTCAGTGAAATCTCAACCGAATCCCTTCTGTGGTGTCATTCAATCAGCTATGCTGCACAAAGGCTGCCTCATGTTTCAGTTTGAACCATATTTAAGACGCCGAAGCATTTTCCCTGACATTTACAAGGTTCTTAAAAACTCTTCAAAGGCCCACCATGGGTTTGATGTTCTAGAACAGTGGTCAATAGAACTAACTAGTTCTCCTCATTTTTACTCCGGTCACATTCAATCTGTTATCTGTTGGTGTTTTGGAGGGGGCGAGATGGTTAGAGAGCGAATTTACTGATCGGAAGGTCCGTGGTTCGAACTCGACCTATGCCTTTCGACTTCCTCTGTCCAGGCTTGGGCAACCTGGCAGTATCCCAGCCCTCGTGCTTCCTTCTGGCGGCATGGCATTTAGGCATCGAGAAGGTGATACAGCTGAACGACGGTGTTTCGGATAGTCAGCGGCCACCAGAGCGTTACGCGATTACCACTCGTCACTGGCCACACTTTAGAGACATCAGGTTTACAGGTGCGTCAGGTATGATCCTACACTTCCGAACCAGTCGATGAATTCAGCGTGCATAGGCCTGAGTATTGGCCTAGTCAGTCGTGAGCTTGATACAAATTCGCCCGGTGAAAAAGCGAATGAGCGAGCAAATCACTGAGCCGATCTTAGGTTCCGAAAAGCAGGTTTAATCTGATCCTCGTTGACTCAGTGCTCGGGAATTTTTTAATGCACGTTTTGCGTCTCGACTCGTGGTTTGTGGGCTGTACTTTTTGGGAATGTGCTCTTTTCGGTTTCAAGTGTTTCTTTCAACCCCGAAATTTGAGGTAGACAAATTTTTCGCACTGGGAGGTTTTCTTGATGCTAGACCACCGTCGAACAGTTCAGACAATAATGTCCTACCCACTTTTGTGGGGCGCTATGTGGATGCGCGTTCTCATTACACTCCAACTTACTGTTTACCAGTTGGTTCCGTGAGAGAGAACATTGCAGACAAGATGGTCGAACGGTGTGAATAAATACACGATGCAGTCGTTTCCGTCACATTAATGTGACTGACCTGAAGAATGCCAGTTAGAATGGGTGATAATTGTCCAGTGTCCAAAATAGGTACATTTAATCGGTTTGCAATCCGTTGCATGGTATCATTCTCACCATACTCGGCTGTTAATTCTTCTTTCGTACCAGATAGCATCAAGTTAAAGGAATCCTTTCAACGCGTCAATTCAGTTCAGTTCATCAGCTATGAACCTTGTACCATGGGTATATCGATTCCAGCTTCTACGGTTTCTACCACCGGAAAGTGGATGTGGGAAACGCACGGTCAGGCATTGAAGGCGAAGCTGATATGCCTCCTCCAGTTTGCTATACTCTTAATTCACATTTCGTGGGTGAGTCGTTCAGCTGTTGCACACTTTCGGTGCCTAGTTGCCATTCCCCACGAAGGAGGCACGAGAGCTTAGATCCTGCCAGGTCGCCCAAGCCTAGATAGGGGAAGTTGAGAGGCAGAGGTTGGGTTCGAACCACGAACCTTCCGATCAGTAAATTCGCGTTCTACCCACTTAGTTCATCCCGCCCCATTTCGTAGATGAACTCATGAGGTGATGACCTATTCGAGTAGTGAGCGCCCAACTTAGTGCTGGTCGACCCCATTCGGGGAGTAGATAGTGCGATCGCCGCTTCCGCTGTTACATCGCACTTTATTCGCACATTGGCTGCACATTATCACTTCATTTTTTCAAGATGAATAAACGGATGGTTCCCCGAAAGATTAGAACCAATTTGAAAGGAGAAGTTGTCATTTCGTCCTCCCTTATCAGTCTCCTGTTCGAGCATTCTTCGCTTGCGGGAGTCTACATGCCATTCACTGTGAACAGATCGACTTTGGGTACGTCATGTTTTCAGTGTTCCAGCAGTGACCGATTAACCTTTTTGCTTGCCATTTGAAACCTTTTTTTGTCACGCCAATTTCGTCTTGTTTCCCGCAGGCCATCTTGAATGATACGCAGACTGATGAACTCATATGTCCGTATTAATATCCTATCATCATCACTGGATTAAATTACAGGACCTTCTTAAGCTTGGTGATCTCAGCTTTGATGGTCTTGGATCAGTATAAAAGAATAAATCGTTTAGCTTCAGCAGTCTTTCAGTGCCTAGCTGTTATGCCAACAGGAGATGCACGAATGCTGGGATACTGCCAGTTGTCCGAGTCACTGGATTAAATTACAGGACCTTCTTAAGCTTGGTGATCTCAGCTTTGATGGTCTTGGATCAGTATAAAAGAATAAATCGTTTAGCTTCAGCAGTCTTTCAGTGCCTAGCTGTTATGCCAACAGGAGATGCACGAATGCTGGGATACTGCCAGGTTGCCCGAGCCTAGACAGGAGCAGTTGAGATTCTGAGGTCAGTATGGCGCCCGCAAAACGTTCTCGGCAGGCATTCTTTTTTAAGACACTTTCGTTTATCACATCTGGTTCGCTCAGTAAGCTAGGTAGTGACCACTTTTGCTCCAAAAGAGCGAAGCTATTGAGCCAATAACACCCATGTCGTGCGGCGAAACTATGCATGCTAATACCCAGTCAGACTGCTGTGACAAATTTCCTCTGGTAAATTCGAGGCCACAGGTCGGCCTCGCACGCCAGCCAAATATGAGAATTCGTGAATTAATTTTTCAGCTTGTTACAAGCCATGAGGTCAACTCTGGTGATCAGTTGTGAGATCAATTGCAGCGTCGATTAAGAGCTGTTACCGGTGGCCAAAAGTTACAGCGAAAGTTATTGCTCACACCAAACCTCGCATGCCTTGCGTGTGGTGCCAACTGTAATAATCCACATGCAGTGGCAGTAAGTGGCTATCCTTAACCAGTACTGGAATTGGACCAATCCGCACGTGAGGTAGAAGATACTAACGGGCATCCGTACAAGCGTACCGTTCATGAAGAGATACATAGACAACAAGAAACCAGTTGGAATGCTAGACAGGCAAGGTGGCCTTGCAAGGTCAGAAAGCACCATAATAGGCCGTTAGATGATCGCGTTTGTATGGAGATGGAATGGGCTCTGTGAGCCGGGGTACACCGGAGTTAGTCTGACTGACAATGGACAATGGTGTCTAGGCCCACACAATGGGCGAAAACCACAACGGATGAAACTGCCACAAATGTACCCCCTGTATTGTTCTTATCTGAGAATATTCCTCCGTTTGCTGTTCTTAAAGATGGCCCTTTGCATTTTTGTTGTTGTTGTTGTTGTTAGTTCGGTTCGACCATCGTTAGAACTTTTGCCGTTTCTATCACTTGTTTTCTGCTGCCATTTGTATATTGTTGAAAACCTTCCTTGGTCTAACCTGACCGACTAGAACACCATCGGACTGATTTCATCAGGTTTTTTTTGACAAGGTAGAAACTATCCGAGCTGTACGATTATTGGAGGAACTGGTTCTACCAAATGTTGGGTATCATGGGTAAATTTCTGATAGGTGCCTGGCTGGCAGGCATAATTTTACAGTTTATGACTTGAGTTAGTACTGATTAGGCATAGCATTTCAATAATCAACTAATTTGTCAGCTATAAATCGTGTGCTATAGGCACATTGGTTACAGCTGCTACAGTTTCGATCCCCGGAAAACGGGAAAGTGGAATACAAGATCAAGCCTTGGGAGCGAAGGAATGCTCAGTTTGTCCGGAAGTTGGGTATCAGCTGCTACAGTTTCGAAGCTTTGATGCACGAGCGCCATTGACTGCGCGATTGGGCCATTTTCGTTAATGTCAATGACCACTGGTGATTTAAGTCCCACGGTCCCCATGCAGGGAAACGGCAGTTGCCCACTCGAATTAGTTTACTGGTTAGCGTTTTCCTACTTCGTTGCCAGATCATACATTGTCCACCTCTCGGTCGCTTCCACTCAGCACAGGACTGAGCGAAAAGATCTCTGCGAGGTAGACGATCTTCTGGCGTGCGAAGTGCATGACCCAACCAGCGCAGCCTATGAAGCGAGAGTCCCTTCTTCTTAAGACCATCTGGTGTACCTCAGCATTACTAATGCGATGTTCTCACCAGACCTGACCGATGCTTCGGAGACACCGATGATCAAACACTGACATCTTCCGTATGTCCTCTGCGCGTAGGAGCTGCATCTCTTATCCATAGAGTAGTATGGATCGCACCACCGCGGTCTAAACTCTTCGGCTGAATTTTACTGTGTTCTCCACGACTGTTCATGACTTTCAAAGAAAGTTGGTTTTCATCTTAATGCGTCAATGATTTGCGCTGTATTTCGAAAAGGTTATGCGACTGTGACCATCGAACTAATTTTCCTACCAGGATGGTTCGTACTACATCAAAAGATTACTCCGTCCATCGTGGTTTCTTCTATTAGCCAGTAAAATTGACATGGTCCATTTTTCAGGGTCATCAGTGGGTCATCCTACTATTGAGTTTCATGGGACGGTCTGGTCACGCCCCCTCAGTCCACGTATGCGCACTCGTATGTTTTACGAGTTCAGCTTTCAGACAACTTGCACCGCCGACCTACCTTCATTGACTGATTCTACAAAGGTTGCGGAGCCGAAATCTACTCCCAGCTCCTCCCGCATGTCGTCGCCTGTAGCTAGTGTTTCGACGGTAACTACTCGCAGGTCACTTCGATCAAAGCGAATTCCTCGGACCAGTGTGCGGGAGAATCCTACAAGGTCCGAGGACGTTACATTTAGTGGAGTGAGTTTGTCAGACAGATTTTCACACCCTTTTTTTACACACTGGCTACTGTTTTTCAACTTTCAAAAGTTTTGAGCATGGGTTACATTTCTCTCGGACTCAACTCTTCAAACCCCTTTTTATTTGATAGTTTCCTCATCGGGCGACGGAATGCTAATGATACAGCAGGTAACTCATTCAAGCCCACCTGTGTTGCCATGCCACGTGAAGAAAGTGTGACGGCTGGGCTATTCTGGGGGCAGAAGATTCTAGCCACAGATCTCTTGGTCATCAACTTGTGTTGAATTGGCGTCCTTTACGCGGGTTTTTGTGTGGCGTATACTTTTTGTCTGAATCAGTGAGGATCGATGATTAATTGACAGCTTTAAGAAATTAGGACGTCAGTTGGTAGCCTGACATGACAGCGTCCCGGCGATATTTCATATCTTAGCGGTGTTTCAGCAACTTCTAACGGGTGCCAGCTAGTGTTCTCTCCAAAGTTTGTTTAATGTCTGCTTACATTCGAATACCACGTGACTGGCGTTACGACTTCGCTGTGTTTTTTCGCTCTGGTAGGCTTATCCGGGACCCATAACGACCAGTGTAAAGAACCTACCTTTAAATGAAAGTTGTCCTTACCTTATTGACTGGAATATACCACTTGTGAACATTCACAGATTTCGAAGGCGCCCATGCCAGTTCAGCAAAGGTCACCTGCTCGGTCGAATCCCATGACCACCCGAAGTCGAACAATTAATGCGATCAGCATCTCTTCCACTGACGCAACAGATGACGATACAGATGATCTCGGTAACCTGTCCATTGACATAGATTCGTCCGATAGCAACAAGTAAGATCTTCCCTATTAATGCGCTAATATGCTTTCAGTTGGCTGGTGATTTTGACATGTTCGATGGGACACCCCGCGATCGTTATCAATATCCTTATGATTATTGTTCCGCTCAATTAGCTCAATGATCGCTGTTATTGCCATCATTACTGCTGAGTTTCGCCCTATTCATTTACACCAACCTTATATGAAAACTTAAAAAACCCTACGGTTCCTTTGTGTTCATTTGACTACGGACAAGGTTATACGACTTGCAACTCAAGTGTTTGACATTCAAAACGTGAGCCATGTATTGTTGCTCAGCATATCCTTTCCATTCCGAGAGCCATACCATTTATGAGTGCTGGGCCAATTTCCCCCTATAATACCCACTTGCTTATTTTGTGGATCTTCAGCCTCCGTTACGACGGACTTAGGGATTGCAGCACTTTTCATTAATTCAGTTGAGCACAATGATGGGTTATGAGAAACATCGACACAACCGTCAGCCTTTCCATTGACAAATACATGTTGTGCAGCTGGTCGGTAAACATGTCCACTGGCGTACTGTGGTCCTTCATATTTGTTCTGGCAACAAATTTAGCTGGGTCTCTCTGTCTCTAACAAGGTGAACCCTAATGGTCACCTTTTCTTAATGGACCTCCTGGCTAGCGAATCTCCGAATGAACGTGCGGCTGCTTGTATAGATCCACTACACATGGTCACTCTCTCACGCGAAGTCAATAGATACCGAATAACTGAGAGGCGTTTTGCGGCCATTCTATCCTTGTTGGAAATCATTGCGCATCTTACGAATGTGGAGAGCTTTGATACGGCAACTCTGTGGATAGGAGCTTGGAATTTCTACTCTGCAACAAAGGCTGACCAATAATCAGTGTGATGGACGCCCATTTCGCTTCGCACTACTCTTCCATTCGTTGGACGTGTGATGTGGTTTATCATACATACCGAGAAATCCCTCATGGGGATGAAGGATCGCCTCATCCGGTCGATGGCCATTTATGTAACTATTCTGTCTAGGACAGTATATGGTCTCTCAGCGACTCTTTTTTGTCTTTCTGTGTGCACTGTTGCCTGTGGGCTGTTACCTTGTCCTTAGCAAATCTCAATGCACTGTTGCCTGTGGGCTGTTACCTTGTTCTTAGCAAATCTCACTGTCCGTTCACTGAATTGAAGGCTAGGTTTAAAATACTCTCTTATCCGTGATTCACACTTAGTTACTTGTGAGTAGTTCATCTTCTTACCTTTTCTTGATTACTTTGGCCGATCGTTCACCTTTTCCAGGAGAGCTATTTGTAATCTCACGTCACCTAACAAAACGGCCAATTGGGGAAGCGGATGGGTTTCATCACTGAGATAGATGGTTTTCGGGACTTTTTAGTTACCCGACTGCTGAATTTTCTTCAGCTGATCCCTGCGGCAAGAGCTACCGTTAAGGTTAATGCTACTATTGGGGAATTTTGGAGTTTGGCAGGGCAAGAAAAGTTCATATGTATATTTAGATCTTGGTTAGTACTTTGGATAAGTGATTCATGGTCTATCAAGCCTAAACTCATTTCGAATGAAGGGGGCGTCCTTATTTATTTGGATTCTTGGCTTCGCAGTGTTCGATCGGATGGCTAGTGTTCGCATTCGTTTGTGGATATTGCCCTCTGTCTTCCATCTTCATGGTATATTCCAGCAAGGCATCCGTCATACGTCAAGGCATGTTCATTGAGTCCTACATGGATCGCTGCCAGCTCCCAACGCTAACATGTTCTCTTCCAGTGGGGAGTACTGTGTTGCTCCATTTTCCAATGGGAACCTATTCTCCGGTCATTCCAGGTCATCGCTTTTTCAAGTACCATTTTAAGCCTATGGGTGATAGAACTCGGGCACCCTAAACGTGTTCATTTGACACTCGATGCAGGCCTGAGTATGTTGGATGCCGACATAAATAAATCAGATTTAATGTGGACTTCTGTGGGGATTCATTCGCTGACCGAAACTCAGCTGGACTGCACCCAGACCACCTAGGAAATCTTGAATGATCCAGTATATCTGGTGTTCTGCGCACGGTACCAATACCTGGTGCAGTATAAACATAGTGGCGGGATCCCGCAAGCGGTAATTTATCGGCAGATCTCCAAATTCAGTCGCGTCGTAACCCCGAAGAGCGAAGGCTGACCACTCGGGAATATGAAGCCCAGCAGAACTGTGCATTTCACAGGGATGTGAAATGCACAAACTTATGCGGTTTGAATTAGCGATGCACCGATTGGGGGTTTTCAGAGATAATCTAAACTCATTGGTCGACAGAACCGAAGTGATCAGTATCAGCGCACCGGTCCGTTTTCAGTGATATAGATCAATACTACTCATTCTAGATAAGTCGTTAATGTCATAGGTGATTGAGGTAGCATGGAATCGTTTGTTTGTCTGGAGGTGTTGGTTCATGATAAGAACACTGAAGACTGCAAAGCGAGTTTATTAGCTTAGTCACCGTTGTTGATGGTAGGGAATCATTAATCTCATTTCGCAATCATCTGTTGTAACGATAAATTTAGTACATGTATAATCTGGCATCTTTTTTGTTCTTTATAGTTAGGTGATCCGGAAGTTACTTACGTCGTGTCCGTTGGTTCTTGAGCTAAAAATCTAAACTTGAGATAGATACACTGCAATTCACATCCTTATTTATTCTCCCATTTGTGACTAAGCACAAGCATTCGGTTTGTATTCTGTTTCTATCAAATAGTTGGTTTTGCCATGCGAAATAACGGTGAGTTTCGTGTTTCCGCGCGTGATTTGGCACGATTTCTGCGCAGAGACCATATTTCGATCATAGTGTTTCTCAGATGGAAGTACATGTAGGTTACTTATGTCGTACACAAATGTGGAGTGGTTATCATGTCAGAATGCACAGATAACCTATCCCATCATATTCAAACTAAAGATGCATTCATAGCAAAGACATGACAATGGCATCGTTCGTCGCAATAGGGTTACCGTTATCGGGGCTATGTATTTGATAGATGCAACTCATTGTGTGAGTGCGAAATAGGTCGGGTTCATCGGCCGATCTCGAATACCAGCTTAGCAGAGGGCTCATCGGATAAGAGCACACAATGATTGATGTATAGCATATCAGATTAGGATATAGCCCGTACGATATAACTACTTGAGTGTTCTCAATAGCCAAACCATTGCTTCCACGAGAAATGGCAAAGTCATAAAATCAGATAGGATTAGCTTGTTGCCGTACACCTGTAGGTTATTTGTTTAGAGTCTCAGGGTGGATACTCATAGGCGTGGAGCCCGTATCATCGGATAGGGGTGTTTAAATACACTTTTAAAATTCCTAGACTGACATCTTCCACACCATACAGCTAACGCGACTAAAAAAACCATAAATTGGAATAGGCTATCTTTTTCATTGGTATTGTCCATATATAATTTTTGTTTTCTGGTAACACAGTGTAAAACCTTGGCCATTTTCGCTCTTCATAGCAAACTTTCCGTTTCCGAACTGGCTCTACGGGAGGTTGCCACCAGTTGTACAGTGGTTACACGAAGTTGTCGACGGGATCGGGGTATCAATAAAGCTGATTTGGACAGCGCCCCGGCCTCTCCAACAACAACAGAGGCTCCTGCAAGCCCAGATGTTCCAGATCAAATGGCGGATGGATCTCCTGGTAAGTTTGCTAACGCTGCTCGTTGGGTTAGCTTATTCAGCGGCCACTTTCAAACTGTCTGCACAAGGAAAATTTCGTGACTGACTGTTATGGTCAGTAATTATTGAGAGAGATTATCTAAGGTTTATCTTTATATCAGTTACAACGTATCCTTCAAGGGCCGGGATCACAACGTTTACGGACAGGTCACACTGGATGAAGAATACAGGAACTCCCCACTACTCAGTGAAGTTTGACGGCTATTTGTAAAGACGGTTTTGGCGTACCGGGTGAGTGAGTTAAGACACGTCTAACAACACTGGTGACAGTTTTGCTAGAAATCCCCCTATATCTACATCACTGCCATTCTGGTTTCATTTGGTTGACGGGAGGCTCTGTGAAGGCCCCTGGCGTAGAACAGAAGGGCAATGAATAATGTATCACTAATTGGTGTTAGTCGACTGTGGATCAGACGGTAGTTGATTTATTCGCCCAGCTTAGAAGTTAGCTTGCTCCTCAGTGCGCTAACGGACTGTCTCCTTGTGTGAGGGGTGACGAAACGTTTACAAGTTAATTACCAGGCTGTCTGAGCAGATCAGCTGTCACGTGATCAACAACCAAGGTAGTGGGGCGTGGGTATTATGTGATTTTGACAATCGTGGTGCTTCACCATTCCGGAAGTGCAGTTATCGGCATACTTATCCAGGAATTAAAAAGAATGCATTGGTACCACTTTTCCAAGTTTATCCTCCGAAAAGCGAATGCCGCTGAGAGGCAAGCTGGTAAGTTCTAATCCGATAGTATTACTTTTTGAGAGGCGGAATAAAGGCTAAACTTTGAAAATGGTTCATAAAAGACAGTAAGACGCCTAATTCCTAGGCGAACTAGTTAGTAACAGTAATTCCTCGGACAAATGATGTTATGCCGCTTTGTTTCTTCACCTTCATTTCTAGGGCTTTGTGTCATTCCTTTGGAGCCTATCAGTAGCAGCGTGGATAACAGCGGTCATCGAGGTCCTCCAGGTATGAATGTTTGGCCTAATTTTGGTATTTGTTTACAGTTCCACTCTGATTGCCTTTTCCTGATATGTATGACTATCTTATGAGTGGGATTTTTAATGTCCTCTTTAAGATACTGTACTCTGGACCATCAACCCGTTTATTTTCAAAGCAGCTTTTGGAGGCCTGGAATATACAATATAGTCAAAGCCAAACTACTAATGATTGTGTATGTGTTGTTGACAGTTGACAGTTTTTCAGTGCATTCTTTCGGCCGTTGCGGAACGATATCAGATATTAATCCAGCTTAGACCTGGATCTTGAGTTCCCCCACCCCCTTACATATACTAAGAATATATCAGACAAGATAAACATCAATAGGGGCTGATCATTCAGCCCCTCTACAGTGCTTACCGAATGCTCTCTGCGTGTACATTTAGAGAACAAAGAACTCATATGATACTGAATCAGAGGCAGTGGGAAATTAGAATGTTTTATTGGAATCAGCCATCAAAACGACTTTTTTGTTGGCCTTTGGAAAATGGATTATTTACGTTTGGCGACTGTGAGGCATCGGTGCGCAGCACTGGTGTTTTTGATGATAGTGATTAGGGACGCGATAAATTTGCTCCTACCGAATTCAGCTGGATTCTTCTGGATGTTTCCTGGGTTTTTATGCAGCAAGAACAATGGTTCTCAAACTTTCTGCAGCGATGGACCGATTGTGACTTTCCTGGGTGAGCCACGTATTGGAGCATGGTTGTCAGCTTACTAAGGACCAGTACATTTTTTCTTTATGCAATTACATTCGAAACGCCCCAGCACCTATTGCTGTCTGCTCAGTTGGTGACGAAACTTTTACAGACTAATTGCAAAGTTCGTCAGACAGATCAACGGTCGCCTGATTTACACACAATGAACGCATCCGAGCTACCAACGCTCGGATACATTGCTAACGTAGTAGTTTAAAGTAATGTGGCTGCCATTCTAGTCATTGAACCGACAGTGACTTGAAATGATGAAGTCGAGTGCAAATGCCTATCTGGAGTCTATCACGCTCCACTTGTCTGATACCGGTACAGTCTACTGGTATTAAGATGTGCTGAACTAGACACTGAGAAACCACCCCTGTTAACTGTCTGAAGTTCTCAAATTAACTTTGTGTCTCATTCAACAGCATGTTCAACTCCTTCATCGTGTTACTCATGGACCACGGTTCAAGTGGGACAAATCGATGTGCATGTTCCAGTTTCGAACATTTCATGGTCGTCCACCAGCAGTTGTCTGGTGTGCTGTAAGAAAGCTGTCGGCCATTGTCCCTTGTGGCCTTCCTGTTCTTCCCGCACCAGTGAAGTCTTACCAGGACCGACTCAGGAAGCTCAGGTAAGATGTCAAGTTGGTCAATTTTTTTTATCTTTGGAACGCTGGGTGCTGTATTCTGTGCTCGTGTGTCGATGCCGCTGGTGAAACTGTGCACAACTTACTGTTATCATTTCTTTGAATGACGGTAACACAGAACGGAGCCATACAAACGGTATTCTATAAAAAAACCGCTCAACTTTAGCACCCTTTCGGTGCACAGCTGCCATGCCACCCGAAGAAGGCACGAGGGCTAGGATATTGCCAGGTTGCCCAAGCCTAGACAGGAGAAGTCGAGAGGCAGAGATCGGGTTCGAACCACGGACCTTCCGGTCAGTAAATTCGCGCTGTCCATCTCGCCCCCAACGGTATTCTATCCCCTACCATAATTGCTTTTAATACCAAGAAGTCATTCGTACTTGTTTCTTTCAGAACAAAAGCGTCTGATAAGATGAAAAATACGCTCAGCGTTCGCTTATTTACCTAGGTAATTGACTGGACTTTTTGGGATTTGTAAACATATGGTCGTTGATCTAAACTAATTTTGTGCTTCAGTATTCATCACCACAGTTAACTGGCTCAAAATGAGATTTTGATCCTGGTAAAGGATGACACGCTCGGCACGATAGAAAAAGGAAATAACATAACAACAATGGAGCAAGGTGAAGTGGTAGATTAGAAACGGTCGCCATCGGTTGCTTTCGAGATCCGGTGAACTTATTCACGGAAATTCTCTTATCTAGTAGATGGAATTTGAGGTTTCATTCATTCAGGATAGAATTTATAGTTTCCGTCCTCCAACAAATATCCTCGAGCCCTTAACCTAAACAAAATAAACAGATCGAATCCATGAACGCACGGAAGAGGCACTTTTTTTAACAACACCTCACGTCGGCCGGCTTCTTTGCTGCTCTCTGTCTCTTCATCGCTATCTCTTACTGCTGCTGCATTACCCCAAAAAAATGACAACAGAGCAGGTCCACTCAGGTTGAGACCCTATTTCAGTTTCACTAATGCGTCCTATATTTTGTGTTGAGATCAAGTTACTCGACGTCCGACTGGACTGTGCCCATCCAGTTCGTTATTCGCCCCTTGTGATTGTTTCCATAACCGGTATCATTTTGCAGGTCTCATGGATGAGCCCACTGATGTCGTGGGATAGTGTACTGAAGGTGATTGACATCAATAGCCTGAGGTGGAAATCCGGATGGATGTCGCTATTTGGGAAAGAATGTGTTTCCTTGAGGGGGGATTGAAGTAGAAATCGGTTCCAGGCTACGTAGGTTGTTTCCTCTAAAGGGCTACTTACTTAGGAGAGTGCTCTATTTACGGTCTAATAAGATGGCTGGAACAGAGTGTATGGGAAACTGTCCTTTTGCTACTGAGGGCAGTTTCAATTTGAGTTGTACGGCTCTATAGTTGTCGAAGATGGCGCCGACGAAAATATGGTTTATTGGACGACACTGCCACGAGTGTTATGTCACTTGGTGCACATGGTGTGCACGACATGTGTAGTTCATTTCTTGAATTTCGAAAGTCATTTAATTATCGTTCTTCTGTGGCTTTTGAAAGTAGAACAAACGTATTTGTTCCTGTACTTATACACATTGGTTTGAAATCTTGTTATTATGAGAGCGATTTGCGGCATCCGATGAGCTCAGTAGACTTTATGTAT